AAGAGAACCCGAAGGATCCCCGGAAAGTGATGGGTCTGAGGTGTTACCCAAGTGCCCCGTTTCAGCCGCAGGAGTGCCCTTTGTGGCCGCAGCTTGGAGGAAGGACAGTGGAGAAGGCGCCCTTCACAAGGAGGACATTTCCCAAGTGGGCGGGACCTGAAAGGGGGGCGGACAGAACTGGCCTGAGACGCTGCGGGGAGGAGGCTCCTGCGATCACAGTAATCAAGGAAGACAGTAAGTCAGGAGGGGTGTGGGCATCACGAGGAGCCGGCCCACGAGGCTTCGCAGGCTCGTGTAGGGCAGAGGCCCCGTGTGGGCTTGCGCGGGTGAAGGGCCGTTCTGGCGAGGCCCGGGTCCGGAGGGTGCGCTCAGCACGGGCCCTTTGTCCAGAGCAGCTGGCTGGGAGCGTTTTGGGAACGAGTTCGGAGCCAGCAGGAGGCCAGGCTGCTGGGGCCTCTGGGTCACTGTCAGAACTGGGCTCCCGTGAGAGCGTGATTAGAAGAGGGACGTGGTATTTTCTAAAGGATTCTTCCACCTGTCCTTGTGAAAGTAAGCCATAGGGACACGGCGCAGGCAAGGAGAGCAGGGGCTTCTTGGGGTACCCCACCGAGGTCAGCATGGTGCCGGTGTGGGTGCCCCGGGCCGGCGGGGCCGGGCCGCTGAGCACACCCTCTGACTAGCGGCGAGGGCAGCTCTGCCCGTTCCGTGAGTGCGTGAGGGCCTCGGGGGACCCTGCGACCCAGGCAGGACGCAGACCCGGGGCGGGGGTGGGCGCGGGACTGGAGAGCGTGCAGGGAAGGCTGTGGGTCTCGCCAGGCGCTCACGGTTCATGCTCACAGACCGTCCGTACGGCCGTGGGAGCAGATTAAGGAGAGCAGCGGGCAGGGCCGCGTGTGCTTCAGGCCCCGGCTTTGCGGTTGGGCGGAGGACTCCCGTCCGCGTAGACCGCCCCCTCCACCGGCCCTGGGCCTGGCTGGCTGTGCGCCTGGCAGGCCTGCCTGCGCGGTGCACGGCCCTGGCTCGCTCTGCGGGTCCATCCACCTTTCTGGGTGGGTCCTCACCTTGCCCTTCCCAGCGGGCCCAGCTTGGCCTTTCTGTCCTGGGAGCGGGGCAGGAGGAGGGGACCAGGACCTCGCTCGCGCTGTGTTCCCTGGCCCGTTCCTGCGGGGCGGCCCTGCCGTGGTTCTGGCCCTGTGTGCTGTCCCCCTCCTGGACTCTGGGGCGGCAGTGCCCGCCTGAGGTGCTGCTGTGCTTTAGTGCACCGTCACCCACGTCCCTGTTGCCTGCATGGAGCCCCGCTGGGTGCCACACCACAGCGTCCCTGCGTGCCACTGGGCCCCGACCGACCCCCGGCGAGAAGCACCTCTGAGGGGCAGTGATGTTGCAGCTGCTCCTGTGACCACAGACCTCGCTGAGGGCCCCTCGGCCCCTTGGTGTTGGCAGGGTGCCCCTGCTCCCTCATCAGCGCGTGTGGGTGTGGGCTCGTCTGTACGTCCATGGAAACACACACGCCTGTACTTGGTGCACGGCTAGCAGCGTGAGCTTTGGCACACGGGTGCCCCGTCCCGCCCGGTGTCCCACAGAGTTCCTCGTAGGGCTGGTCCTATGCCCTGTGTCCTGGGCTCCCCCACACCCCGTTCCCTCTCCACGTCCTCACGGCAGCCTGAGGCGTGGCTACTGATGCCCCATTTTCTGGGTAGGAACTTGAGGGGGACGGACCCCACGGTGCAGGGCTGCAAAGTCTTCAGGGGCCTGGCGGCACCATGTCGCACACAGAAAGGCCGTGTCTCACCAACCGCGAGTGTGGCGGATGCGGTGCTCCTGGGGAGCCAGCACGCGGCCCGGATGACGGCCTCTCTCGGGTTGGGGTCGGGGTGGGCACTGTTGTGTACTCACCGATGCCGAACAAGGCAGTTGACGGAAGTCCTTATGGCTGATTTTTAAAAATCATAAAACCTTCATCCTTAGGAACCAGAAAGACTTCCCTAGTAAGCAAGTCAGACTGGCAGCGTCGTTTCCCATCACAGTGGGGAAGAGGCAGCCGGGCAACAGCACAGGGGTGTTAGGCACATCTGCGGAAGTCTGGAGGAGGGTGGGTACGTAGGGAGAAGTGGTGATTGCTTTCCGATGACGGTTATAAACCCAAGGGACCTGACTCCAGTCATTAGAAATAAGAGGGAAGGATAGGTAGCTCATTGCACAATGAACTTGCAAGTATCAGATTCGTAGCTTTTCTATTAGAATAATCCGAAAAAAAGTAACGAAAGACGGATCTCACTCATAATGGCATTAACAGTAACAAGGTGTCTTGGGACCCCCAGTGACAAGGACGCCAGGCCTGGATGAGGCCTGCTCAGGGCCTCCCCATACCTGGCTTGAAACGCTCTGCCTCTAGTGTTGATTTACATCTTTTATTCAGTTCCTTGAAAATCCCAAAGGAACTTGAAGCCCCCTGTCAGGCTTCAGTTCCTGTGGAAGATGAACTTGGTGAGGCTCTTGGTGCGTCTTCAGGAAAGAGAAATGGTGGGAGGGCCCTGGGGGCCTGAGGCGGGCTGGCCCGTGGGACACTGGGCGCAGAGCAGAGCGTGGGGTCCGGTGAGTGGCTCTGGTGACGCTGGCTTAGTCGGGGAGAAAGGAAGTGGCTTCTTACTTGTGGCCTGTGCTCCACCGCCCTGGGAGACCACGTCCTTCGTTTTGATGGTGGTCGTTTTCCGTGTGTATAAACTGCACGTATATCCTTATCTGGAAGAAGTGATACAGTACTCTGCTCTTTCCTGTTAACAACGTGAATGTCTCTCCTTGTGAATGATCTATTTCTATAGCGCGTCTTCTCGACAGCTGTGTAGGACTGAACACGTCGGTGAATTCAGCCCCAGTGCCTCTGCGTCCATGCTGTGTCCTGTCGGATCTCCTTCCTTGCAGGAATGGAGGGAGCGGTCCCTTGCTGTGTTCTGTGGCTCCGACGAGGAACCCCAGTGGGGAGTGACCACGTGGTCCCCCCGCCCACTGGGCGTGGAGGGCAGGTTCTGCGGCGCAGGGGTGTGCTTGCGAGGGCCTCGCGGTGGAGCTGGGGTGGGCGCGCACGTGGTCCGAGCTGGGTCTGTGCTGCCGGCCTCACCTGGTCTCGCTGGGCCCTGGGAGGGCAGCTGGGGGTCCCGTAGTTCACGGATGGGCCAGGGGTCCGGCGTGCAGTGTGGAGTCCAGCTCACCCTGCCGTCTGAGGCCCAAAGAGGGTGGTCTTTTGAGGTCTGCTTAGTGGAAGCGTATCTGCTGGCTGGATTTACTCTCCTCTCCCTTCAAGTCACCCAGCACAGATCAGCATTTTGGATAAATGTGGAGAATACTCAGTTCAGTGTGAAGATTACCTGCCTGGTAAGAGTTTGTGGATTTCCACCGTGGAAAAGGAAGTTTGATTTTTCTTTTGATCGGCTTATTAATTAGATGAGTCACGTTATGTTTAGCGCCACAGCATCTTTTACTGGTGAGGACTCGGGGCTGCATGGTCGTCGTGGGCTCCGTGTGGCGACCCTCGGTTTGCGTCCACGTGCCTTCAGGCATCCGCAGAGACAGACTTCTCCGTCATGCTCAGGCGTGGGGTTAATTTGTGGTCGTCTTGAGTGTCGACACAGTACCCGATGGCACAGTCTGTCATTTGGGGTCGTGTAACAGAACACCCACCGCGATGGCTCGAGCAGGGAGTCTGGGCAACGCCCGCTCCGTGGGGGTCAGGGTCCCCTCCTCGTGGTGCCGACAGCGGTGCTCTGCCTGGGTCTTGGGTGTGAGAGGGGCCTGGGGGGCCGCAGCCTCCATGCGTTCTCTCCTAGCGTCAAGTTGGGGGCCACTGCAGGCTCTCCTGCCCCTTTCCCTCCACAGACGCCCGCTGTGTCTACACCAGCCTCACCACGCCCCTCGGGAGAGTGCGGAACAGGCCAGGGTCTTCCCGAGCCCCTCGGCCAGGCCCCGTGGATTGGTCCGGGGATGAGCCCTGTACACTGTGGATGTGGCCAGTTCGCCCGCCCACCCTCCAGCAGGCCTCCCAGGGGCGCGTGTCGAGGTGCTTGGAGTTGGGGCGTGTGGTGGGCCCGTGGGGGGCGCTCTTCCCCGGAGACCCTCAGCTTCCCAGCCCCCGCTGCTGCCGCGAGTCGAGCTGCTGGAGAAGAGGGTCCAGGAAGGCCGGGCGGCACAGGCACCCGCACGAGGGCCGCTTTCGGCTGCGGGCCTCCTGTCCCGGGCCCGGTCGTTAATCTGGATGGGGGCGGGGAGCCCCGGGCGAGAGAGAGCCCTTCACGCCAGCGATTCCTGTAAATGTAGCCATGGGGTCTGTGGGGTCACCAGATTCCCAGACACTGGATTGAAGGTACACGTTGAAAAGAGGACTTTTGTGATTTCTTTCAGGTTAGGTGTGTGCTGATACAGTAGTTAAAACTGACTTCGCTTGGTCTTATTAACAGTGATATTCTAGTTACTCGCTTTTCAGCAGTGTGGACCCATCTTCCGTTAAGTATGAAGGAAATGCGGAATCGTGATGTGTAGAAACAATTAGTGGGGTTTATTTCTGATTTGTACATGTGATTTTTACTCAATTTCCCCCTAGTTGAGCAGCATACGTGCCCACATTCATGAATGAAAGCAAAGCTTTGATCATAGCTCTCGTTTCACAGATAACTTAGAGCGCGACCCACACAGCTGGCACTGAGTCCCTGCAGCGTAAATAAGGAGAAATGGCTCAGGTTCATCTCATCTTTATGCTGTATGACTACATGATGAATATTAGATATACATCATTTAAATCTTGCCTGCTTTTAAAACTGACTTCAAAAGATGCATTATTTGGTGCCTTCCTTAATTTAACTCCATAGTGGTTTCATGATATTCTTTGAAGCATGTCTTGATATGTTCATTTGGATTAAAAAATGAAGTCGGACCCTTCAGCAGAGTAAGGCTGACCATGCTACATGGGCTTCGTCCAACATAAATGAGCTGGATTTTCAGCTGAATAGTTGGGATGAAACTAAAGCACACGAGCATTTTATTAAGACATTTTTTTAATTGGCAGAAATGTATGTTTACCAGTCTCAGTGCTCACGCAGACACGAGCCACCTGGGAGCAGGCCGGCAGTGCACTCCTCTGGATGCATTTTTCAGTGTAATTTTCCTTTTAATATTTTATAATTATCAAAGTTTAATGTCTTATTTTGACGGGGTTTGCGTTTCTGATAATTGCAATGGTAACTCACTTTTTCAGATGAAGAATGTTCACTTCTAGAAAGTATATTTAAGAAAACTTTAAAAATAAGTAAAATTTCAATTTATGTACAGATTTGTATTGCGGGGAAATATCTGAGGGTGATAAAAGACTTCAAAGCATAACGATGATTCAGGTAAAATTCCAGAGGTGGCTGGAACAGCACAGGCCCCCGGAGGACAGGGGGGACATCGAATTCCTCCCTGTTGAAGGGGAGGGAGTGAGTCCTGCTGGGAGCAGCAGGGGCGTCAGGCTCCTGGGGCAGGCGGAGAACGGGGGCTGGACCCAGAGGACACACATGGAGGGGCGTCGGCAGTGAGACCCCGGGGATGGGGCCCACAGGCTGGCTCGTCGGGCAGCAGAGCCAACCGTGCCCGGCAGAAGGGAGACAGAACCTACATAGCCGGCCAGCCTCTCGTGGTTTTCATCTTTGACTTGAGGTCAACTAGATGTTTTCCTGAAGACGTGTTTTCTGGAAGTAGCAAGTCGTTCAGCCTCACTTGTTCTTTTGGCGTTGCTTAATTCAACAACATTTAATTGGGTGCTTCTATTAAGTGAGCTTGTATGCCGCTATGCTGCTCACCGTAAGGTTGTCTTTGTGAAGCCGTTCCATGCCTGTGTCTGCCCAGCAGTGACAGCGCCTCCACCCCTGGGTGCTCGCTCTGCGCTGGGCTCGGTCCTGCACCCTGAGCGCATCCACGTGGTCCGTCCTCCCCACACTCTGCAGTGGGAGCCCCAGGCCAGAGCTCAGCTCACCTGTCCAGGGTCAGGGAGAGTTGGTGGTGGAACCAGGCTTGAATCCAGGGTTCCTGTGTCAGAAAAACCCTTTCTGGGTGTTAGGATGTTTTCTTTCTTCTTTGTGCTTAATTTTTTTAAAAAGCACGTTGTTATGAAACCAAGAAAGTGATGATTTTTGCGAAGGAAGCTGGACAGAAAGAGCCATTTAGCAGGTGCTGAGGTGCCGGCAGGGGGGCGCGGGGGGGATGCAGCCGGCTTCCCTCCCTTCTTTTTCCGTGAGCTTGGTCATGCTCCGTGTGTCAGGGACCCTGCGTGCCCCAGGCTTTGAGGGTGAGGGGGAATCCACCCTTGAGGACGGCGTGGCCTGAGCCGTCTCTGCGGAAGACACGAGAGCCTTGCTCAGCTCCAAGCGGAGGCCTGGTCTTGGCCTCTTCCCTCTGGCTGAGCAGCCGTGAGTCTGGGGGCCTTGTGTGTTTCAGGAGCCGCGGGGCCCGCACTGAGCACAGGGGAAGGTGACGTCCATGCCGGCCCGGGAGCCTGGCTGTGGGGCAGCCTCGCAGTGCCCGGCGTGGCTCTGCCGTGCGTCCAGGTCCAGCTGCTGCAGGTAAGAGCCCGTGAGCCGTCCTGCCCCGTCCTGCATCCCTCCTGTCCGTCACTCCACTGTGTCCAGACTTCCCCACGCATTCCCCGTGTCCAGCTCCCCTGCAGCCTGCCCTCTGCACTCCATCCCGCTCCTGCCTGAGGTCCCGTGGCCGCACCCGCAGACAACTGGCAGTGCGTCTGGCTCCTTGTGCGGCCGGGTCCCCGGACTTGGCTTCTGTCCTCACGGGGCTGGGTGAAGGCAGCGTGCTCATGCTGTGCCAGGATGCACCCGGAGGAGGTGGCCTGTGTGGAAAATGGTGCTGAGCTTGTTTCTCTCTTACTTTCTCTGCCGCACTGAGGCCCTCAGGGCAGGGCTGGCCACCTCTTGGGCTGCGCCCGGGCCATTGCGGACCTGCAGCTGCGGCTGCTCCCCCCTCTGTGGCTCTGTCACCTTCAGCCTCGCTTTCCAGGGGCTGGAAGATGGTTTGCAAGCGTTTTGGGAGAGAAGAGGTTTAAACGCTGAGGAGGTACAGCTCTGATCCAGCCTCTTTGAGCACCTCTGTGTACTCGGCTCTCGGGCCGCGGGGCCATGCAGCTGGGCCTCGAGCTGGGCTTGGGGGAGGGCTCCGGTCACTGCTGGGCCTCAGGCCGCCCCTGGAAGGCGGGTGCGCTGGTTCTGCTGCGTCTCAAGGTAGCGGGACTCCTCGGGCCAAGGTGACTGAGCCGTGTGTGCGGTTGCCTTCCCAGGATGACCCCTCAGGGCACGTGGTCTTCCCGTTGGCGCCCGGCCCACAGCCTCCTGTCTCCCAACCCCTGCTTGCTGTCATGCCCGTCTACGTCCTCCAGGTCTGGATGCCTCTTTGCTCTTTGGGTTTGTTGAGACTCGTGAAGCTTCCGGCTTCCTGAGGTGTCTCCCTGAGGCGGCCTTGCATGGGACTCGCTGGGTGGGTTGCCAGGGTGTTTTTCCACTTTGTGGAAGAGGTGGCTAAGGGATCGAGACATAAAAGGTGGAGCATACAGCTGGGATTCACTCATCACGGTAGATGGGGTGGAATTTAATACGGTCTTCAAGGGTCATACGTTTAGAATTGTGGAAGTTGGGCGGGCCAGATTTTAGCCTGTGGGGGAAATAGGCTAAGCTGAGTATGGGTGGCAGTGGATAATTGAGATTTGGGTAAAAAATAATGATGTAGCTTATCCAATTTCAAACGTTTATGTGAGAAACAAACAGTAATTTTGGTTTTCTTATATTCGAATTGGGCTGTTCGACATTTTCCGTAACGTTAGAAGTGAATGTTGAACGGAGCGCGGGGTGGGGGTGAACTGGAGGGCGTGCGACCGGTCACAGCGTCTGGACGGCCTCACGGCCATCCCCTCCATCCGTCGGGTGTTCCTCATCTCAGGGTCGTGTACAAGTGAGCAGGGGGTCGCTGTGGCCTGTTCCCTGGTGGCAGGCTGGGTGGTGGTGGTGCGGCCACGTCGCTGGAGCCCGTCTGCACTGATGCCGCGGACGGCAGCTTGTGACCGTGACTGGGAGTGGGGGGGCGCTCCCAGAGCGAGTGGGGAGGGTCAAAGGTCAGGGAGGACAGTCCCATCTCTGAAGAAACCCAGAGCAGAGCAGAGGACTGAGTTCACCTTTGCTTAGTTTTGTTGATACTAAAATTCTTCTTCAAGGAATATATGCTTAAAATAGGGGGAAAACGAGCGTTTTCAACTAAGGGAGGCCAGGGGCGCGTGTGGGCCTGCGCTGTGCTGCGGTTGCCGAGCTCACCACTGTGCTTGGTTTCGCAGGAGGTGCTCCCTGCAGCTGGAGGGGCCACTGGGCCCGAGGACATGTGGAGCTCGGGCAGCACGGTCGGCCTGTGGGCCCTGCAGTGAAACCAGCTCTGCCTGGGCCGAGGGCGCCACTTGGAAGGCTGGCCTCGTTCTTCAGAGACTTCGGGTACATTTTCGCAAGTGTTTTTCTTACGTTTTATCAGGGACCTGTTTGGGGCCGTACCATCCTCTCAGGGCAGAGCGTGCCTTTTTCCTCGCTCGGCTGTGCACGCAGCCTGCATCCGCCTGAGCTTGCTGCGTGCCTAGGGAAGAGGACGGAGCCTCCGCGGTGGCCCGTGACGGGGCTTCAGCACTCGGCGCAGCGTCTGGCTGAGAGCGAACAGGCTGTCCCCGCCCTCGGTGGGGGTCGCGGTTGAGCTGGGGTGGCACCGGGTCTAGTGGCCCAGGTGGCCTGGTGTCAGGGGAACGTGACGGGTGACGAGGCCCCCGGGCCCTGTCGCAGCCCCTGCACAGACCAAATATAGAGTTAAACCTTTAAAGTGATGATTTTGAGTTCTGTATTTGGGTAGTAACGTCTAATGGCAATTGGACAGCGGTCTGTACAGCCACGTTCTGAGCACTGAGGTGTGTGCATTGTTGAGGGTGACCGTGTGTTTTCACGGAGTGAGGTCTGTCCTGCAGAAGGAGACAAGTCAGTGGGCCGGACACAGGCTCTCAGAAACGGTGTTTTGCCTTGTGCCTTTCGAAGTGTTTTTGTTCAGATGCTGTTTTGATTCTCAGGCTTGGGAATCATCCCAACTCTGCCCATTCTGTTTGTCTCTTTTGAGTTTTTGGGCTTTTGGTTCTGATTTCTGCTGTGTCCTGCATGGGGGAGGGGGTGTTTCCATCTCTAGATGGTGCTCCCCGAAGCCCCGGGTCATCCAGCGGCCCCTCCACGAGGAGCCAGGCCCGGCGGCCTCCTGTTCTGCGGGAGGAGAGTCCGGGCCGTGCGGCTGGACCTCTGTCCCGCACACCCCCAGTGGGTGTCCCTCTGAGGTGCTCAGGACTTCCGTTTCCTGGGCACTGAGGTCCCTGCTGGTATTGGGCCCAACTCCTCATGTGAGTGAATTAAAAGTTTTTGTACAGCTGCACGTGCAAAGTTGACATTTTTCCTTTGATCCGTAGCAATAACCCACCGTCCAGCTTGCTGATTCCCCATCCCCTTTGTATTGGGGCTGATCCCACACTCACCTCGGGGTGCAGCTGGGGTTCCAGTTTTATTTTTACACTCCTCTGATCGTTAAAATAAGCAGAGAGAGATTTGTTCTAATGAAAGAGAAAAAGCAAGCACTGACTGACTGACTGACAGGAATGCTGGGAGCAGAAGAGGGGGTGGGCACGGCCCGGCCCTGTCCTGGGAAGGGCTGAGCGACAACAGCCCTGAAGCCAGGCTCAGTGTCCCGAGCTCGGGGACAGAGGGTGTCCTTCCTGCTGCACTACAGCCAGGCTGCGTGGGCTCCATGGGCTCCAGACAGTGCCCCGCCCTGCAAAGCGCACAGGCGCCTTTGGTTCAACGTCTTCAGGCCGCAGCGCCCTGCCCTCCCCTCCACACGGGCATGCACGCTCGCCGGCAAGGGCTCCTGACCTCAGGCTCCATCCCGGGCTCAGGCAGCAGCAGCTCCAGAGTGTGTGTGCGTCCTCGGCTGACCGGCAGAGGCCAGGGTCAGCCTCTCTGGGGGTCCGGCTGGGAAGAAACCACACCCTGTTTCCATGGGCACGAGGGGAAGGTTCTCCTGAGCGGCAGGGATGCCTGGGCTCCTTAGGAAGGTCCAGATGCTGGTTCTGAGGTGCCATCCAGCACCGTTTCACTCCTCAGTAGCCAGTGGGCGAGGAAGCAGAGTGCCAGGAGGCCGGTCCCGAGGAGGTCCCCCAGCCCCGTGAGGTAGGGGATGCAGTGGTCATCCGGGTCCAGGGCCTGGTTCCATGTCAGCCGAACCGTCGCTTCCGCCAGGTACAGCAGGATCGTCACCTGTCACGAGGTGAGCAGACACAAGGTGATGATGGCCGAGGAGAAAGCCCGTGTCACCAAGAAACCAGCAGATCTCAAGAGTGGACACCACGGTGGACACATCCACCCCAGGCCCTCCCTGGGCTCCTCCCGGGTGTGCCGCGCAGCTTGGCGGCCGCGCACCGCCCAGCTCCACCCACTGCCTCGGAGGCTCGGACAGGGGTCTGGCTGGAAGTGCAGCTCGGACTTCCCGGAGGTCCCCTCCTGGGGCAGCTCCGGACAGCTGGTCCTTCGTGGAGGCACCTCAAGCCCTGGTCAGGTCCCAGGTTCCCGCAGCCACTTCCCTGCCCTGCGCTGCTCTGGACAGTCTCCCAGGCTCCCCAGCCTGTCCTTCAGGGTCACGGACACGCTGACGCCGCTCTCATGGGAGTGCCCACCGGAGCTCACCATTACCCTGCAGAGGCCCCAGCCCTCCCAGCTAGAGTCTCGGAAAACGGCCTGACTGAAGTCCACACGTGCCTGTAGCAGTGCGTCTTGATCACGCCCTTGGGCTTGGATGGACTGACTGGACTTCCAGAAGGTGGGGACTGTGTCCTGCGTGTCCAGGGACCTCTCCCAGGATGGGACCCCAGGGGCCATCGTTACCTGGACCAGGCCCGCCAGCAGGTAGAGCCCCACGAAGGTTTTGTCGTTTGGGACTGACTGGCCTTCCACCAGGTAGATGATGGAGAAGAAGATCAGGTGGCCTGGAACCACCAGGAAGAGCAGGACGCGGGCCGACACGGAGTTGATTTCTGGAAGAAACAGAGCAGGGGAGGCAGCATGAGCTGCTGGCAGTGAGGTGCCCGCGGCCCCTCTTCCTGCTGCCTGTGCTTACGGAGCAGCCGCGTGTGCAGCTTGTCTAGCGACAGGGGTGAGGCCTGTCATTCCCTTGGGAGCTGACGTCGTAGGGAAGAGAGAAAAACCAGCATCAAGTAGCAGAAACAAAAGTCATTTCAAACCTGACGGGTACTAGGCGGAAGGCTGACCGGGCTCAAGTGGTGGGGAGTGGAGGTGGGAAGCCGAGGCCCCGGGCGGAGGAAGGAGGACATGTAGGGCTTCGGGGGGCCGAAGGCTCCGGCGTGGGCAGCCCCTCCCTCACGCAGGACCCGGGGACGCCCATCGGCACACTCTCCTCAGTGTCTGTGCTCATGGGTTTGAGACGCTGCGCGAAATGGGATTTCACAGTTTACAACCGCCATGAAACCACCCGTGGGGACACGACAGCTTCTCAGGCAGAAATGGGGAACTGCAGTGAGAAGTCCGTCTACGTTTCCTTCTGAGTTAACCATAAAGCGTTTCATCAGCTAAAGAAAGAAAAGGAGGACAAATCAAACGTAACTATGAAGTCTACCGTAAGATAACTTGCAGCGAGAGGGTGAGGACGCACAAGAGCACCAGAACGTTCATGGTGAAAATTCAGATGAGGGCTAACTTGAAAAAGATGATTGTTTTAAAAAACTTACAAAGGCAAAAGCAAAATAATTATTACTATTGGCAGCTGGCATTAAAACTCAAGAAAATCTACAGAAAGACTAAACAGCAAGAATTCAGTAAATATGTGCTGCTACAGACTGAATATTCGCTTTCCCCCCAAATCCGTAAGTTGTGACCTGACCCGCAATGATGGTGTTAGGAGGTGGTCAGGTGCCCCCATGAGTGAAGGGCCCCCGAAGACCTCCCTCGCCCCCTTCTTCCCTGTCTGTGGACCAGGAGGCCGGGCCTCACCAGTGCTGGTGCCCTGACCTTGGATGTCCAGCCTCCAGAGCTGTGAGAAACGTGTGTTGTTTATAAGCCCCCAGTCTGTGATTCTAAGACAGGTGCACGCTGAAATACATGCAGTACAGGGTAAAGAGCCTTTCTGTATACAGATGACAAGTCAGAAAATACACGGGGACTCCCCACTTTAGACAAGGTGAGGCAGACACACTTCCTGTCCCTCTCACCACTCATCCAACAGCCCTGAACGTCATATGAAACAAACATAAGATTCTGGAAGGTGGAGGGACGAGGCGGGCTGGCCAGGGCTCCGCGGCCCGGGGAGCAGCACGAGGTGAGGTCCCTGAGCTGCTGCCTTGCATCCCAGACCAGATGCTGGGGAGTCAGAACGCGAACGGTTAGTGGCCACGGAAGACAACTCGGCACGAGCCCCCCCCTCCTCCCGTCCTGGCCCCGGAGGTGAGAGGCTGGAGTTTGGGGGGGTAGCCAGGCCCCCTCCCTCCCGGCCAGGCGGGGGCAGAGGAATAGGACTTGAAAAGTAACAAAAGACACGACACCGCGTTGGGTCCCCGGTTCTCAGAACAGACTCCGTGGTCCTTCCTCAAGCTTCAGGCCCTGCAGGACCAGCGCCTGCCCCTCAGGTCCTCGCCCCAGCCCCCCGCCCCCGCTCATCCTCAGCGGGGATGCCTCCCGCCAGCCTTTCCGAGGCCCTTCTGCGCACAGCACGACTTGGAATCCCGTGTGCGTCCGCTCTGCTGGAGCGTGTCTGTCCCCAGGGGTAGGATCGGCTCCTCCATCTCTCACAGTACCTGGAGATGGTCGGTGTACCTCTGGCTGAGCGAACGGACCGGTGAAGGCCACGTTGGCACGTCGGGGCTGGGCTGAGGGGTCTACTGCCACAGACACCAGATTCTTAAAAGAAACGGCCACGTGGCCTCTGGAAGACCCCAGACCCACCTGAGCTGCAGAACGTGGAGCAGGGGTTAGGCCAGCGTTTTTTCATCCAGAGGGGCAGGACCCCAGGCGTGCTCCACAGGTGCAGGTACGTGGAGATCCGGCTGGTCTGAATGGCCACCAGGTTGCCACCAACACCTGCAAAGAGAAAGAATCTCTCCTCCTTTATGCCAGTCTCTGAGTTCTATCCCTTATTTTAAGTCCAGCTCCTCCAGGAAGCCTTCCTTGACTGGTTCAGCCCTTGATTTCTTTTCTTTCCCTCCCACTTGCCCACAGATCTCGTGTCTGGCACCAGACAAGTGTGGCCTGGGGCTCGTGAATGAGGTATCAAGGTAGTAGCTGCATCACCTTGACAGGTGGCAGCACTTAAGGAGAAGGAGGTGTGATGGGGGAGGGAGGGAAGTGGGCGGGGAGGTCTCAGGAAGCCACTCAAGGAAGGAACTTTTCACCTCAAGGCGGGAAGGAGAGGTAAGAGGGCCGAGAGTGAGGGGAGGGAGGGTTGTGTGGCAGCCGAGCTGGGGCTCATTGAGGGGGGTGGCTCTTGGCGTCCTGGGGAGCTGACCGTGGCCAGCTCTGCTGGGGCCCCAGGCCCCAGTGACAAAGGCCCCTCGGAGCCCCTCCAGGCAGAGAGCGGGGCCTGCCCCTGGCAACTGTCCCCTTTAGAGGGCGGTTGGGTTGCCCACTGCCTCATCCCTATGGAGGATGACCCCTAACTGGGCCAGATGTGCCCCAGCTGCTCCAGAGGATGCAAAGAATGGCCATGGGCAGAGGGTGACTGCAGATCTATTTTGCTTAGCCCACGATGATTTATTTAAAAAAAGATAAAAGAAGAAAATAAATTGGCGGCCTTTCCACATTAGGCCCTTAATCCAGGTTCCTGTCTCCCTGGGGCTCCGTTCTCGCCAGCCCGCAACCGGCCAGCCACCACGCGGGTCGCCCAGGAGCCCACCCTGCACTGCTCCCCACCGCCCACCTCGCCTCCCTGCGCAAGTCATTCGCGGTGCTCACTCAGCCCCTACAGACACTGAGCAGAGGACCCCAGGGGACTCTCTAGGCCTGTGGCCTCTGGGCCAGCTGCTGCTGTCCTCCTTGTCAGTGGCCGGCCTGGCACTGGGAGAGGCCCTGTGGACTCGGCTGGGTGCAGGCCTGGCACGTACAGGACACTGCAGACGGCCTGGGCAGTGGGTTGTCACACTCGTTCCTCTCCGACCAGCCGGCCCCACTTACAGAGCCTTACCAGAAACTAGACACAAGCTGAGCTTGGGCTAAATGCCCAGAGTTAAGCCTGGAAGGTGAACCAGTGGAGGGTCCGGAGGAGACCCAGGGGATGGAGGAGATTGAGGCAAGCTGATTCCTGCCCACCCCACCGTGAACCAGTGTTGTCACAGCCTTGTGTTTTAAGGAGAAGACAGGAATCCTGGTTTCTCTGTGTAAATGCCTGAGTTTTAAGTGTCGTCAGTGAGTCTAAGTTAAAAGGAAAGCCACGAGAGGCCAACACCCCGGTTCTGAAGCCACACTTGGCCCCAGGTGCCAGCAGATCCCGGGTTAAAGCCTTCAAGGCTCTGGGATCAGCTCTCGTCCTGGGGGCCCATGAGGGCAGGTGTGACCTGCAGGAGCGGGGGCTACAGCAGCCTCCCGGGGCGGGGCCCGGACCTCCGAGATAGCTGCTCTTCTTGCCCCACCACCCAGAAGCCAGGTGACGGGACCCAGTACCTACCACAAATGATGGGGGCAAATACGGCCATGCCTCGGAACTGCTGCTTGGAGATGGTCTTGTTCAAGATGAGCCCCCCGAAACTGCGGGGGGGGCGGGGAGAGATGGCAAACGATTAGAGCGGACGCTGGCCAGCCCTCACCACGCAGACCGCCGTGTCAGCCTGTCACCCGCCCAAAACATCCGGAGTGGCCGAGCTGGTCTCCCGTGTCCCCTGATGCCACACGTGGCTCCCACCTCTGCTCTGAGTCTCGGCTGTTGCAGAAGGCCCCACCAGACCCTTTCCGAGGCCACTTAGCTGGCTGGGCCCTGCCACGTGACAGCCCTGAGGTGCGCTCAGCAGGAAGAGGGGCTCATGTGACGTCTCCCATCCCCGCTCCCCGAAGCTGCTCAGCACCTGGCCCCACCAACCCTGGGGTTCAGCGAAGGCCTGGAGTCCACGAGCTTCTGGAAGCAAAGACACCTCGGCCACAGCCTCCGCTCCCCGAGTCACTCAGGAGAGCACATGGGAAAGGGCTGGGGTGGCCCCCGTCAGGGTCCACAAGCAGAAAGGGCCCCCAAGGATGGCGCTGGAGGGCCCAGGGCCCCGGAGCACTGATCCTTCAGCCCTGTAGGTCTCACCAGTGGCTGGGCTGCGGGAATGGCCTTCACAGAGCTGTGGCCGTGAGGCCAGCGCAGCGGGGGAGCGGGGCCGTGGCTGGTGCTCGTCTCCTGTGAACAGGGCTGCCCCTCACAATACACCAGGCCCAGGGTTCTTAGGGGAAATGAGTGAAGAGCGTGGTGGAGGCGCCCGAGGCCACGGCTCACCCCACCCGGATCCCAAGGCGTCGCCACCCACGCACCTGCTGACGAGCATGGCCAGGACGATGGGGAACCACCCGAACTTCAAGATCTTCACGACTGGCGGGTTCTGCTTGGCGATGAGGATGCACAGGGGGGTCAGGGCCGTGAAGCCGATGCAGACCAGCGGCGTCAGATACCGACTGTCTGGGGGGAAGAGAGGGGGCGTGTGGGCCGTGGGGCTGGAGCTCAGGGTGGGGCCCAGGCTGTGGCCTGGGTGGCGGAGGTGACAGGTGTGTGGGGACTCAGGGCCCCAGAGGCCTGAGGAACAGCTCCCGTCCCCACCAGTCTGGATGAACCATCCCCTGCACCTCCTCTGTCATGTGGCTGATGGGCTCCTGTCCACCTCGATCCCCGCCGCACCTGTCTTTGCTTCGCTGACACCCCTGCGGCTCTTCGACACACGTGCCCTCCTCGGCCTGCTCTCAGCCTGGCCTCGCTATTCACGGCTCCGTTTACGGGGTCGTGACCGTGGCCAGTGCCGCGCTCGGCACTTCGTGTACGCAACTCTCCTGCTCTCACCGACCTGCTCGGACGGCCTGGGAGGAGGTGGCCAAGCAGGACACACCCATGGGCAGCAATGCTGGCTCTGCTCTTGCTGAGGCCACCCCAGGGGGGGACCCTTCGGCACCCACGTTCTCACAGGGGCTCGTGTCCCTGTGTCACCTGCTCCAGGCGGCAGGAGCCACGAGGACGGACCTCAGCCTGGATCAGCCTCAGGAACCTGGGCCCCTGCCGGAGCCCAACGCACAGGGCCACATGTGGCCACTCACCCGCCCGCCTCTTACCCGCACACATGGTGACTCACCAGCCTTGTGGAGAAGCGCCCGCCAACCCCGGCCACGCCCAGAGCGGAGGCCCCCCACCCAGCGCGCAGGCCTGGCCTGGGGCCCCTGCCCTTTTCCGCAGGAAACAGCTGTGGCCATCCTTGTGCCCTGAGCGTCCTGGGCAAGAGATGGGCCCAGGGCCTCGGCAGGTATCCGCTGGCCTGGACACGGCAGCTGGGAGCGTCACCGCTCAGGGCCGTAGCCTCCCAGCCGCTGTGGCCGTCTCCCTGGTGACAGCATAGGCGCAGTGGCCGCAGGCTCGCCCTCATCAGCGAGGACCCACCCGACTGCTGCCCAGCCGGGACCCCCGAGATAACCCAGTGTCTCACCGCAGGGACGGGTGACCCAACGGGACTTGACATCCAGGGTGTGTGTGGAGGCATGGGGCTGGGTGCAAAAGGGAGGAGGGCCCGGGGAGGCCGGTAACTCAAAATTACTTTGCAAATCAGACTCCGTAACTAGTCGGTGCACAAATCTTTGAAATTCAGAGTGTTTGAGAATAAAATTAAGGCGTCTTACTGTTAGATCTTCACCTCCACTTCGTGAACTTCCAGCATCTTCCCAAACCATCCCTTCCTGTTGCTGCAGGCCTTTCCTGGATGGCTGGAGCTCGTGGAGCCATGCCACCCTCACTGGGAGCGTTTCCTGGGCCACTTCTGTTGCCCACATGTAAAAACCGGCAATTCCTTAAACCTCTGGGTCCACGGGCCCACCATGCCCCACGTTTAAGCTTCGTTGCTGTCCACTCCACCCGTGGAAGCCGTGACCGCACTTGGAACTGACATCTGCTAGATCCGGACAAGCGTGCAGCCATCCTGGGGGGGGCCACACCAGGTGGGAGACCACAGACAGGACACTCGGAGCGGGTGCTCAGCCGTGCAAGTGCAGTGAGGGAGCCGCCGGCAAGGCGCTGCCGTGTGTCCACAGCGTCCAGGGTGTGAGCCAAGCTGTGTCCCCAGGCGGACCTGGGCGACGTCGGGGGGGGGGGGCCGTGGCCACAAGGTCTTGTTCCCAGAACGTGTGCAAACGCCCCGTCGGTGGCTGACCACGTCACAGGCCACCTTCTGAGGAGCCTGGCTTCTGCCTCCTTGGCTGTGACACTCCTCCCTGGAGTCACCTCTCGGGCAGCTGGTGTGTGTCCGGCGTGAACTGTGCCTCCCGCGAGGAGGTGCTGAAGCACCCAGACCAGCCTCTGTCAGAGGTGGGCACTGACAACCTGTACATCCACTGCCCGGAGACACCTGTCCCCGTGCTGCACTGGAAAAGCCGGCGGCACCTGGGGGGCGACCCCCATCTGCCCAGTGACCCCAGGCCTCGCCTACGAAAGGATAGACCCCAGCCTCGGGCCCTACCTCTGTGTTTGTGGAAGAAGCTGCTGACGAAAGCCAGGATGGACAAGGTGATGAGGTCTCCCAGGCTGGCCGCGATGGGCGTCGCGATGTTGTCCGGGTTGACCCCGAGCTTTCGAGCGCCGATCACTATGCAGACCATCAACATCCCTGCAGGGGGAGGGGACAGGTGGCCGGTGAGCGGGTGGCAGGGCCGCCCAGGAGCTCGCTGCACCCACGGAGCCGCCCGCTCTCGGGGTCCCTCCCTGCACTGGGGCGCAAGGCTTGGACTCTGCCCTGTGTCTCGCGGGCTTGATGCTGTGGAGCAGCCCAAGCACCCTGATGACTCCCTGAACCGTCGGGGAGACACAGGCAGGTGGGGCCTGGGCTCCCAACCTTGGGAACTACAGGTGTGATGCTCACAGCCCTCCTGGCAGCAAGATGGACCCCAAACTGCTCTGAGCAGCAGGAGCCCTGGGGTGGGCAGGGCAACTGGCCCGTGAGTGGTTTCCAAGGGGCAGAGCCTGCGGGGAAGACGGCAGGGTGGGGTCTGGGACAGTGTGGGGCAGCAGTGCAGGTGGTCCCTGGAGGGAGGGAGGGAGGGAAGGGGCGGCACACAGAAGGCAGCATGGCACTGGGGGCCTGAGGGGCTGCCAGGGCCCAGCACGTGGCCGCGAGTGCAGGGCGACGTCCCTGCTGGACCTGAGAGGCCCTTCCTCGTGGCCGCTACGCCTCCCAGGACCTGCTTCTGTTCTGACTTGGTTCTGAGGCCACTGTGACGTGCTTCCACCCCCCGTGCCACACTGCCTGGGACAAAATCCAACAGCATCTTGTGTGGCCTTTAAGAAGACACTTTCCATCTTGGCCCCTGCTGTTTTAACACTGGACTCGGCGTTCTGTAACTCTAATCACAGTTATCACGTTGGTGCCATCGAATGCTGCTGGCCACCGTCTGTGCTGTTTTGTGACCAGGTCCCAGCAACTTTATGCTTTTGCAATGTCATTTGTAAGTGAATTGACACTGCCTGGCTGAGCCGGTGGTCTGGTGACAATCCCACAGGGAGGCATAGAGGACACCACCAGTTTGAGATCACTTATTACAAACCACCAGCACCACCGCCTGGCTTTATGGCTCAGACAGGCCAAGGTCATGCTGTGACGCACCAGCCACACTTCCTGAGTCCCCCTCATCTTGGGACAATCCCGGCTATGTCCTTGCTACTGAGGTGCACCCCATCTGAGGCCTCAGTCTTCTCATCTGTAAAACAGGAGCTAAGATGGCCCCCCGGGAGCGGCACCGCCTTCTGGAGACTTGGTGTCTCCTAGGCTCTGTTCTCTCAGAAGGTTCAGCCCTTCCCTGGCCCAGATGTGCAGGCATGCAGCAGGTCTATGAATCTGCTCCTGGGCTTCTGCGCTCTGGCCCTGCCCCGACCTGGGCTCCTGCACGGGGATGCAGCCGCCTGGTAGGAACCACAGCCACCGAATAACCAGCTGCATCCTGCTGGGGGTCAGGCGAGTGAACAGTCGACTTGACAAGGCTACCCCTCTTCCTGGACCTGCGTGCGCTTTGCACGATGCACACAGACACGGCCCAGAGAGAACCAGTGTGACCACTGTCCATTCAGAAAACCTGGGAGCTGACCGGTGCCTGGGTTAAGTGTGGAAAGAACCACGGACTCTGCACTCACACTACTTGCTTGGTGGTGGAGGAGCGGACAGTACACGAGTGAACAAGCGCGTGAAGCAGACACAGCGTGACTGTGAGCGAGTCAGGGGAGGCTGCGAGACTGGAGTCACGCGTGTGCTCGCGCACTGAGGGATCACCCTGAACTAGGATGAGCCCCGCAGCGTTGGGCCCCCAGCGTGTCCCGGGCTCTGGGACAGAAGCTGGCACGTGGGCTCGGGGAGTGCTGAGTGCTGAACAGATGCGCAGCCGCTGGGCTCCCCGCTGATGCGCGTGAGCTCCCCCCGGGGCCTGAGGCAGCGTGGCAGGAGCAGGGTGGGGACAGCAGATGGTAGAAGAGGACACGCAGGCCCCTCTCAGAGGAGCTGCTGTCGTGCAGGGAGCTGAGACATAAAGTAAGGGACAAGAGAGCTTCAGATATTCGCAAGGGCTCCAAAAGGAGCGTGAAGCCTGGTGGCCTCCGGCGGGGGAGGGGGCGCAGGACCTGCCTTGCCCCAGGCCCCGCCCAGGCCCTCCCGGTGGCCAGTCACAGACAGACGTGTCTCCGCCCCAGCAGAGGGCAGGGACCCCCTCGCCGCCCTCCAGGTCAAGGTGGGTGTGAAGACCCATTGGTGTCCCGACCCGCGCAGGACCCCGAGGGCTGCTCACCCAGGGCGCAGGCCGCCAGGAAGGCAGTGATGACGCTGCTGGCGCACAGCACCTCCGCCTCCACCGCGTCCAGCTCCTGCCCCGACGCCGCGCCCAGGAGCAGGGCCGCCACGGCGGCCAGGAGCCCCACGACGGCGGCCTGCACCTGCGGGCAGGAACCAGACGTTAGGCAGGTCTGCTGACCTCGCCCGAGCGCAACAAAGCCAACACCCCCTTCAGCCCGATCCCTGCGGGAACCGCTGCCCCGCCCCGTCCTTCCCCGTCATCTTGCGTAGGGTCCTCGGTCAAGGGCCCCCCGTGTTTCCTCACCGCCCCTCTAACTGGTTTGGACAAAAGTGCTGTGATCTCCAGCAGCACAGACAGTGCCCCTGCCCGACGCCCCGGAAACGCCCAGGACCCCCAGGAGACACCAGAGCTGTCGGAGCTGAGGCCCCAGCGCACACGCGAGGCCAGTCAGCCTCCGCAGACGAGAACACGCCCCAGCTCACACACGGAATTCCACTCAGGGTCCCAAGATTTTTCCTGGTACCTGACAACTCATTTTAAATTTCACTTTCACAAAAATGAGCAGATGCGCAAGAACAGCCATAACAACTTTGAGAAAGAAAATGGGAATTTTGGCATTTTCATTATGAATACGTATTTTAAAGCTATAGTATTAAAACTGGGTGGCTTGGCAGAGAAATAGACAAATAGGTCAGCAGGACAGAACGGGGTCCAGGAGTTGAACCGTGAATATGTGAAAATTTTAAATTTAATGTATGAAAAGTTAATCATGAATATATGAAAGTTTACTATGATGACGCTGGCATTTCAAATCAGGATGGAATACATAAGGTAAGAGAAACCGGATATTTGCTTGGAAAAATAAAATAGATTCTGACTTTATACCGTTCACACACATATACCTAAACATAAAAACATAAAGTGTGAAATGGATGAAAGTACTGAATAATGTGTTTCAGATTTTGGATTAGGGAAGGCCTCCTACTAAAGATGAAACATACAAAATCTATAAAGAAAAATACAGGTAAGATTTACAAAGTCCAAGCATGACTTCTGTGTGATAAAAGACACCACTAAACAAAGGCAGGGATAGACTTGGAGAAAGTATTTCCGTCTTACATAACTAATAAAAGATTAGTATCCAGAATAATGAGTCCATTTTACCAAATCAACAATAACCATCATGATAATATAAAGATAACGTGATAGAACAATGCATAGGGGATATGACAGGTAATCCACAGAAAGGAAATACAAACGGCTAAGAAACACACAAAAGATGATCAAATCCCTAGTAATCAGGAAAATTTAATCCCCATTGGAAGATTAGGATTAGGGTTATTTGTAACCAGGGCTGGTCCTCCTCTATTAAAAAGTAAGTGCTGTTTGATTTTCTTGGCACTGGGGTCTCTGCTCATCGGGTAAATGGATGGATGGGGTATACTTCTCACCTGTCGGATGAAGTAAAGTTAAAACTCAAAGGTCGACAGTACAAAGTACACACGGACAAACAAGTGGGACGATGGTTGTCTTACACACTGATGGTGGTAAAATGATACAGGAATTCTGGGAGGAAATTTGTCTAAGTTATCTAAATACCTGATGATCTAGCATTTTCCCAGGGAAACGTGCACATGTGGACAAAGAAGCACATAATCACGATGGTGATTGGAGCTGCTCTGTACAGAGTGACGTCCGTTCGTTAAGTCACTATTAAGGGAAAAGTGCTATTTACAAAGTTACACGTACAGTATAGTATGTTTTATGCATAGAAACATGGGAACTCGTGTGGTCTGTGTCTGTGGGCAAATCCATGTGTCTGCAAACACAGAAAGGGTTTAGAAGAGTCCTTCCCATGCTGGTGAGCTTATGAGGAACTACTAATTGAAGTTTTTGGTTTTTTTTTTTAAATAAATAAATTTATTTATTTATTTTTGGCTGAGTTTGGTCTTCGTTGCTGCGCGCTAGAGCACAGGCTCAGTAGTTGTGACACACGGGCTTAGCTGCTCCGCGGCGTGCGGGATCTTCCCGGACCAGGGCTCGAACCCGTGTCCCCTGCCCTGGCAAGCAGATTCTTTAACCACTGCGCCACCGGGGAAGTCCCATTTCAATTATTGATACTAGCGCTGGTATTGCACCAAGAAATCAGATGTTTTGTAATCCTTTCGGAAAACATCTAGAGCCTTAAACTGTTCATACCTTGTGAACTTGTAGGAAGTTCTCTTAAGAAACCTACGCAAAAGGAGAACACTCTCACTGCAGTATAACTTATCGAGTAGGAGCCTGTAACTGCAGGTGCCCCGCAGGGTGACGGGTCTGTGAGTGGACGGGCCGAGCTCGGCAGGTCTGCACAGGCCCCACAGAGCCAGCCCCTGGCTGCCCTTCCCTCTTACCCGTGAGGTCCTGGCTCACGTTATCACTCTTGGGTACATTGTCGTGATAGAATACACTGAAGTTATTTTAAAAGTTTAAGTATGGAACTTACTGCACCCTTTATGCTTTGATGTTAAGCTTTTTAAAAAATGAAGGAGACCAATTGCATCCACGCTGTGACAGGACCACGTGCCAGGCCAGGGCCTGCCCACAGCAGGACCTAATCAACACTGGTTGAGGAGGATTCGGTAGGAAAAGAAACGCAAAACCAGTGACTGTTGCCAAGGCGTTTACCACCCGCCCCTGCAGACCCTCTGCCGGGGCCTCATGAGAGCTTTAACCTCCAGGGGCTTCAGCCACAGGCTGTAGTCCCGGCCCCTGTGAAGCACCTCGGTGGACGAGGCAGACGTCTAAACACAAAACTGCGTCCAGGACGGCCTGACAGCGCCCGCAAGGCCCGGAGAGGCAGCCAGTGCCAGGCTGGAGCCAGGTCTGAGGAGAGACCCCACCGGGTGACAGGGAGGGGAAAGGACATCCCAGGAGGGGAGAGGGCCGGGCCCACCCCTGGACAAGGGGGCCGGCAAAGGGGCTCCAGGGGGAGGAGGCCCCATGAGCTCGAGGGTTAGAAAAGGCCAGGCAGGGGCTGTGCAGAAGCGCAGTGGAGCCCAGGTGCCTGGACGGGGAGGCCAGGGCAGCGGGGCTGGGCTCCAGGCGGCCCAGGGGAGGGTCCTCAGAGTGGCCGGATGTAAGGGTGAGGGACACAGGCAGGCTGAGGGCTGTCGGGTTTCTAGCCGGGTCAGACGGGAGTGTCGCTCACTGGGCATGCGAATCCCACCCGATGAGCCACACAGCAGCCCATCTTACAGGTGAGGCCCCTGAGCTGGGCCACCCCAGAGCGAGCTTCCAGCCCAAAGCAGACGGAGTCTGGGACTTCAAAGAGGGGTGTAAGGAGGGCAGGCGACGGGGCCGGATCTGGGGACACTGCTCTGGAGATGCCCAGTGGAGAGGTGCAAACGGACTCCAGAGCCCAGGTGAGAAGTCAAGGCCCCTCCTGAGTCTGTGTGTCCTGCCCAGGGCAGCCTGCTGGTCAGTGACGGTCTCGCCTGCACGCCAGTGTGACCTGGGCCCAGTTCTCGGTGTGGCCACAGCCTGCCCCGGCCAGAGGAGCCCAGGAAGCTCTGGATACAAACGCTTCCGTCCAGATCCAGGCCCAGCCTACTGCTGCCTCAGGCTTCCTGGCTCCGTGAGACACCCCCCTCCGCCCCGCGGCCCCACAGTTAGGAGGAGACACAAGTTTGCGACGCGCATGAAGCATAAGGGACAAAGGCGAGGGTCACCTGGATGAGGGCGAGGTTACTGCTGATGACTCGGTGCTGCTCCCGGGGGCCATCGATCTGCCCAGTGTTGGCCTAGGATGGAAAGAAGGGCAAAGGGTGAGTCGGGCGGCAGCGCCGAAGCCAGGCCCACCCTTCTTGGAGAGGGTCTCAGGACAGGCCAACAAATGCCCCCTCACTGCTGCCAGAGCCAACTGTCCTGCCAGCTTCCAAAACGGTGACTCGGGGCTGGAGAGGTGGGGACACAGGCCCAGCTCTTCCCCTCACAGGTGTGCGATCACACATACACGTGCACACGCGGGCACGCATGTCACCAAGAACCTCAGCCGTTGACCATCCGGCCGGTCCATGAGGGGTGCCGGGCTCCCCCCACCCTGCCATCCCTCCTCCCCGCCCACGAGTCGCAGCTCACGTGACCAGCAGCCACGCACCCACCTTGGCAAAGTATCCTGCTTAAGAAACGTATGTAAGGCCCTCTTCTCTTGGGATAAAAAGGCGAGATCGGAAATGCAGCTTTCTCCTTTAAAAGGGGTAGCTGCTCCTAACGTCACAGCCTTTGCCAGCAAAATTCAGGATGTAGATAAGAAAAGGTTTCAAAGCAAATGTATTTTCTTGGCTCCTATTGCATTGAGTTCACTACGTTACTGAACTCTGAGGAAAACACATAATTCTCTTTTTTACTTTATTTTTTGGCTGCGCCGTGCGGCTTGCAGGACCTTCGTTTCCTGACCAGGGATCGAACCCAGGCTCCCTGCAGTGGAAGCGTGGAGTCCCAACCACTGGACGGCCAGGGAAGCCCCCAGAATTACTTTTCTTTGTACAAGTAAGGGGAGGCTTCTTGTCTTTGGGCGCCTGGGACACATCAGGTCACCACTGTGGAGCCCCAGTCAGCTCTGGCTTCATCCAGATGGCCTGACACCTGCCTCGGGTGTCCTCCCAGGAACTGGGGCACAGGTGGAGCAGAGCCGCGAGGGACCCACCGAGGCCACACCCGCTCCGCCCGCCCCCCCGCGGCCCAGAGATGCCGGTGCCCGTGTGTTGGTTCCTGTCAGTCAACCAATTGCAATGTATCAAGGTAGTCAGAGGGCTGGTCAACCAACTGCAACATACCAAGGTAGTCAGAGGGCTGGTGCTGGCCCACGACCCCCAGTACAAATCAGAAAAGGAGTCCTTCCTCAAGAAGCCTCATTTCCACCGGCTGGGAAGCGTGTAAAACACGTGCACAAGTCTAGAACCCGTACAACCCACGAAGCGGCATGGAGGTGCCTCCTGGCGCCAGAGGCCCGAAACCAAGTCCAGGCTGAGCAGCAGAGGGAGCAAAGGAGAGGGTGCCTGGAGATCCCACAGGGACGAAGGCGGGGAGAGCCGGGGGGAAGCAGCTGCGGGTGTCAGGGAATTAGGCCAGGGGACGGCAGCGGGGCTGACGGGCACTGGATTCCCGTCCAGACACCGGGGAGCGTGGGTTTCGTTTGAGTTATCCCCGTGGAGGCTGAAATCGGCCAGGATGGTGGCGGGAACTGGTGTGCAGATGAAGCCCCTCAGAGGGTCCATTATCCAGGGCCGTGGGGGACGGAGCCGCGAAGGAGGGAAAGAACAGGGCCGGCCAGGAGGGTGAACCTCGGGCAGGGGCCCTCAGGCATGGGTGGTCAGGTCTCCATCAAGATACAGGGACATTTCTTTCCCCTAGAACGACGGTCCTGGAGAGGTCAGGCTAGGAGCTAGAGGCACAAGGCCAGCCCTGGCACAGGCTGGGGCCTTTCAAGACTCCAAGGCAAAGGAGTGGGAAGCTGGAGCGTCTCTAGACCAACCCAGATTCATCTCAGCAGAAGCAGCCCGCAGGCCCTTCCTAAGCGTGTGTTTGGATCACACTCAAACATCTTCAGCCTCTCTTAATCTCACGAGCCCTTACAGCTGCATCAACACACCTCCCTGCCCTGCGGTTCTGGCTGCAGCTCGGCCACTCGGCCTCTCCTTCAGCGACAGGCCCAGCTGTGGGAACCACCCCTCCTCCCGTCCCTCAGGTGAGGACGACTTCCTGCCGCTACCCGGCCTGGGGAGCCTTGCCACCCACAAGCTTGCCGGTGGACCCCTCCTTAATTCTGCTCAGCTCCTGTGCCTGCACCTCCTGTTTGCTGCCAGGTCCTGACTTGCCCAGCGAGTTAGAGCTTCACAAGGTCATCTGGCCCATTCACAACAAAAAACACTTACTGGATTAACAAAGAGGACTGACCCTTGCTGTCCTCCTCCTTCCTCAAACTGGAGGGTAGGGAAAGACAACCTTCTAACTTTTTATTTCTAAATAAATGTAGACTTTTTTTTGCAAGAGTTCCAAAGTCAGCACAGAGAGTTTCCCATATACCTGTCGCCCAGTTTCTACTGACCGTAACACCTTATAGCAGGGGTCCCCAGCCCCTGGGCCGCACAGCACGAGGTGAGCGGCGGGCCACCGAGCAAAGCTTCATCTGCTCACATACCACCGGAGCCATCCCTCCCCACCCCTGGCCGTGGAAAAATCGTCTTCCGCGAAACCGGTCCCTGGTGCCAAAAAGGCTGGGGACCACTGTGTTATAGAACCACAGGACAGTCATCAAACTAAGACGTTAACACTGGCTCAACACCACCAACTAGGTGACAGGATGTATTTGCACATCCCGGCTTTCCCACCACTGTCCTTTCTCTGTTCCAGGAAGTAAGTCCGGATCCCCCACTGGCTCCTTGGTCTCCTCCAGGCAGTGATGGGTTCTCACCTTCCCTCGTCTTTCTCACCTTGACACCTCAAGGAGCGCTGCTCAGGCATTCTGCAGAAGGTCCCTCAACGTGGGCTTGTCTGGTGCCTCCGCATGACTAAACTGAGGGTGCGGGTTCGGAGGGAAAAGGCTGCCGAGGGGAGGTGCCGTCTCCGTGTGTGGAATCCGAGGCGAGTGACACCACGCGGCTGATCACAGGCGCCCTGACCTCGGCTGAGGTGCGTCTGCCGGGATTCTGCCCTGCAGACTCGCTGTTTTCCCTTCCCCGCACGCTATCAGCTAGAAGCCCCTCATCAGGTCGGCCCTGTGCTCCAGGGGAGGGGATTAAGCGGCTGCTCCTCCGTGGAAGCAGATCGAAGCTTTGGGGACACTTTCTGCAACTACCAGAGCGATTCACAATTCCTGGGGGAGATATCTGAAGCTATGCACACATCCTGTTTCTCCTGCAAGTTCCACCTGGTGCTACTGCAGTGTCAGCGCCTCTAGGTCCTCTTACAGATGGAGCCAGGAAACGTACGTGTATGCACCCTAACCCCGCTGTGCACACACGCAAATTTAGTTTCGTCTCCCTCTGTACGTCCTAAACAAATGTGAGTTTACAAGGATATCTCTGACTCCAGTCCAGCATCACAGGGCTCATCATGGCAGTGAGCAGACAGCCTTCAGACACACAATGGAAACAAGAAGAGGCTTCTACAGTATAACACAAATTCAGAGGAAATCCTTGGGCATAGAGAGCAGGGGAGTTAGGTGGACAGAGGACCCACGCCCAGAAATGACGGCAGGACATGTTTCCCGCCCAGGAAGGAGGCCCCGGGGACAACGGGCACCTCGGACAGGTGGCGACTTGGCTTCAACAAGAGGCGCCTCTCCTCTCGCCTGACCGGCTTGTGCCGACGATGGGATGCGTGGCTGAGCAGAAGCAGCGAGGGTGTGTGCTGGGGTCACAAGCAGGGAAGTGTCCAGAGTGGCCATAGTAAGAGGGACACAGACCAGTGAGACCAGTGAGCGGCTTGTACCTCCGGGGAACACACTGTGACGCCCCCCAGCCATCAGGGGGTCACCTGCTCTACAGAAGGAGATAAACCGACTAGGAGGAAACCCAAATAGAGGATGCTCGAGTGACCAAGAATCCCTATCTCCTGAAGGCCACAGTCATGCCAGACTCAGCAGACTCCACAAATGGAGGCAAAAGCCTAAGGAAACAATCAAACAGAAGCCGAGTAAGACTCTAGGACTGCTAAACCAGGGGGTGGCAGAGTCTGGTGCCTTCGCACAGGGAGAGACCGTCTGGGGTTCTAGAAAGCACAGACTCGGTCTCTGAATGTAAAGTAAAACACGGAGACAAGCAGGACTCCTCACAATGACCTCAGGAGCACAGAGCTTGAGAGCAAGATTAAGAGGAAACGAGTGAAATGAAAAATCAAGCGCAGGTGTTTTCCCAGAATGAAGCACAACCAGACAGAGATGGAAAAAGGCAGATCCAGAAGCTGCATGTGGATATGTTAAAGTTGGAGAGACGGTGGGAATGTGAATGCGTATCAGAATATAAGAAATCACAAAAAATAGGATTTTCATAGAGCTGAAGACAGACATATGTCTTTAGATTGAAAAATCTAACATGTATATAAGGTAAGGAAAAACAGTCCATGCCAGAAATACCGCGGTGAAATTTCAGAACATGGATGATAAAAAAAAAATGCAAAAGAAGTTCAGATAGGGGGACTTGCCTGGCCGTCCAGTGGTTAGGACTCTGCATGTGCACTGCAGGGGGCACGGGTTCGATCCCTGGTTGGGGGACTAAGATCCCGCAAGCCGCACGACACGCAGCCCCCCGCCAAAAAAAAGTTCAGATAGAAAGATAAAATCAACAGACTACCTACAAGAAATGAGACTCAAAGAGACACGAGGCCACCATTAGCAACACTGGGTACAGAGGACACGGCAAGCCTGTCTCAGTTGAGGGAACATACCTGTGAACACTGCCTCGCTATCCGGACAGGCTGGGGTCAGCTGTGAGGATAAAGGCCCCGTCACACTTGGGAGTCCAGACAGTTCACCTGCCAGGACCCTCCCCTGAAGCAGGTCCTGGAGGACACATGCAAACCAAACGAAAGATACATTTAAAAGGAAGCTGGTGGGGAGTGACAACAGCCAGAGGGCGGACAGGGAAGCCCAGCCCTCGCTCCTTGGAGGAAACACAGGATGAACCACACAGACTGAGCACAGCAGCTCTGTGGGAGGGTTAGAAGCCAGGCCAGGCCCTGCAGCAGCCAAGGAGAAGCCTCACCCACGATGGGAGGAAAGGTCGTTGTTGCCCTTGCCCCT